AGTCGATCCGGATGATGCATCTGGTGTAAATCAGATCGCCTCTTAGCTGTCTTTATGACATGGGAAACAACCCAGCAGATTGGTGTTTAACAAAATAGAATTTTACTTTGTGTCCAAATGTAGCCCTGTGGATGGGGTTTAAAGAAGTCCATCATGTGAATCAAATTTGATTTTAGACAACGGTCTTTTTTTGGAAACTTGATCATATTGTTGGTTTTTGAGGTGTAACTAGCGGTACACCATTGACCCTTGAGAAGAAAAATATTTGGGTTGGGGGGTGGGTGGGTGGGGGTGGATCTAGAAATTAGGATGGAAATGGTTAAATTAGAAAAAGGGCGACAAGAAACATTACAAAGTGGTGGATTATTGTAAGAGGTGAGATGAAGAGTGCCATTCTCACGACTTCAAACGGATATCGGTACATTTGAGAATATTCTGTTTGAACAACAGAGCGATGGACCAGCTAAAATTAGCGGTCAAAAGTGATAACCCATTACTGTTTTCAGTGAGAATTCTACATGAAGGACCATATGTGATTCCAGAGAATCACAAACTCATGTACCCGGACTTATAAGAGTAGATTACAATCAATGTAGTCACTCATTTGATAGGATATATATATAAATGAATATAAAAACTATGCCAGACAGATAGGCTTAGGATTTATCTTGAGATATTCTCCCACACGATGAAGTTGGTCGGTTGAGCGAAATCTTAGTTGATCGAAGCCTGATTTTAAGGTTTTGACTTGGAGAGAATTGAAAACACTGCACCGAATAAATCAGTACTAGCAGTTTCCTTCAGTTTACACACACACATTTCCAAATACTCATCCTCGATTACATAATCCTCTTTCAGCTTGAAGATTACGCAGACGAAGTCCTAAATAGAGGATTACATATAAAACTGAATAATCTATCCTGCTTTGACGGCAGCCAAGAACATACATCTGGAACCATTCTAAAAAGGGACGACTGATCTCTACCTTCCAAGATTAGAGTGATTGAGATATTGTTTTTCGTTTATTAAAGATGGATGTGTAGATTCTACTTGCTAACCACGGCTGATAAGCTTACAAATCACGGTGTAACTGTTTGATCCGTGTCCAAAATTATGGGGCAATTCATCTTCAAGGATTTAACTTCAGTATGGGCGGATTGGTAACCTGACGCGATCCGTAAATGTGACTAACGGGACCCGCGCTTGTTAGTCTGTTACACCAATAAACTATCGCACAATATTGCACTTGTTCATCATTGTTGTTGTTGGACTGTGCAGTGGAATTAAATAGTACAAAGAATATAAATCCATAAAACACGTACACATTACCAAACCATCCGGTACGCACATGTTCAACTTGCCCCGGTAGAATCTCGATAAGGATCCGTGCATCTGGTGGCAGTTGATCACCTGCTGGTGACTTCTCACAGTTCCGAAGAAATTCCGGTCCTGAAAGCTTTAGAATTTTGGGCTGGACAAGTAACAAATTTCGCACTCGTGTACTCTTGCTATCTCTTTTGCCGTTTCTCTCATTTATACTCGTGTTCTGACTATTCTCATCTGATGAAGATGAAGATGATGATGATCCGATTGACGCTATCCGAAACCAGATCTGCAAACAACAACAAACAACACGAAACAGTATCAAAAGGTGTACGGTGAAACACACAAATAATTATTATTTCATTTATTCGTAATCTTTCATTCTAACAAGTACGTCTTTTTCCCTATACTCTGTATCCCAACCCCCTCCCGTTATTGTTATTGATAATATTGTTGTGGCGTTGGCACCATGCTTGGTCTCAAACCGATGTTATATATATATATATATATATATATATATTCACATAATACGGTTAGTAGTATCTAACCCAGTTACAAAACATTGAATCATAGCACTGATTCTTCATTAGGCTGACTCGAAAAGAGCTGTCTATCCAATGGTCACCCGGTGTTGTAAACAAGGTTATTGTGACCAAAATACACTTTCTGGGTACAAGTATATGAATGAATTGATAAAAGATTACCGGATACGCATGCGTGACGAGCGGCAAGAATCGCGAAACCGGTCGTGTGCTTCCAGGGAAATTTTGTTCAGCCATTCACATAATACTTATTATCAAATATATATATATATACATATGCACTTACATGGATGGTCGGTGAGGGTCAGCTCGAATGATGTCACTGAACGTGGTCCGCGGGTGGTATTATCAATGCCTTCGTGGCTGGGCATTTGGGCATTTGATTTGGGTGAGGGTTGGGAATGGGTGTATGCATTGATGAGCGAGCATAGATGAGATGAGATGGGGATGCAGTCGGTTGCACGACAGAGAGACAGAGAGAGGGGGAACAAAACGTGCAACTAGATGTGGATTTGTTTTCTTGAAAGCAATGCTTTTCTGTCACGTGCGCGTACACCGGAGACGAAAGATGCAACCATTGAGTGGCCCTATTGCAACCAGAATCATTTCACTGCATCTGCACATCCCACGTGTTGGTCGGATAGACAGATTAAACGTGATCAATTGCTCACATTGTACGCATAAATCGGTTTGTGAATGTGATGGGCTAGAGCTGTTGCACACTGGGATATTCGTCACGTTACGATAACCTGAAACCGATTAGGCTGGACTGGCACGGGATTTTCCCCAATAGGAGATTTGAACGTATCTCAATTCGTGAAATGATTCCCTGGATGAAATTGTTGTTATCCGGAATCTAGTATAGACAAACAGTGACCACTTCAGCTGCGTAGTGGACATAGTTGATGTTAGAATTCAAGTACATACTAACTAGGATTGTCGAATCATCTGTACTGGAGGCGTTCGACTGGATCAAAGTTCTAATATTGGCTCTATTGGCTCTTTGGACGAGTACATCACAGAGTGTGTCATGAACCGTGCGGGACGGGACGGGACGGGACGGGGGGGGGGTTGCGTTTTAACGGTCACCATTTTTTGACGTCCACCGAGCACAGGAAATACACTTTTTGTAGACTTAATTTCGAATACTCAGACTCTGTTAGCATATTGTATTCCGGTCCTCACTTTTGAACATAACTTGAATGGCAGTAAAACAAGCGCACGTGATTCGCAATGCATAGTCATAGTTGAATTCTTTCTTTCTCCCTCCTTCTCCTCTCCGAAGTATTATTGCATAACACGTTTACTCTCTTATGGAGAAGAAATGGCAGAGAACAACCCTATGAAAGAAACTTAGACGTAACCAGTTTTAGGTGTATCGCTTCTACATAAACAAGATAAGTGATCTTCATGGATGAATCTGTGAAGAATCTTTGGAACATGTATAATACAAAGTGACAACCTCTCCTATTTGTGTCCTGATTCCGTTGATGGTAAACTCAATACTAACCTGGGACCTTGGATAAGAACTTGTGTTACAGATTTACCGATAACTCTGTACCAAGTCATGCATTGTTCACTCACGAAAGTTCTTCCAACCAGGCAATGAAGTTGCAAACAGCCATTATTGGGGACCGCAATGGAGCGGTTTATGTAGTACATGTCCCAAAGTGTTGGAGGCGATGCAGTATATTCTGGGGTTCGTTTTTGGAGGGGGAGGAGACAAGTTGTCCGGACACATCAATACCCATACGATGTTGCCATTCAGACGTGGGCAGTACATCCGAACTCTCAACACTGACTATCTTGATAGCTGTTAGGCCTCTTTGACACCGTGGGGCTGAATTTTGTGATAGTAAAGTATGATCTAAAGAACTATGACACTATATATCAATTTGTTTAGAGAGGGGTGGGGTGGTAAAAACTACCGCTGTTCATTACGTCTGTGACTGTGGACTTCTGTTGCTTATCAGACTGCGTCACGTGTGTTTGTGTAAGCATTTTACAAACAATTGGACGTAGTGTATAATAAGACACATAAACAATGCGGATAGACGAAAACAATCACGTTGGAACCGTAAGCATCTTCCGCACGTCATCAATGTGTCCGACAAAATCAAACAGCTGCGGTATCCATGCCACACGGTATGCAGATAGAAATTCGGTTCCGGTCAGTCGTCTATTCGAACTGGAATAGTGAATGCACACAAAAATACAGTAACACAGTAACACACATAAACGCACTAAAATCTATTTTTATCCGCTGAATTACTTCGTATTTGTACGAATATAATCTGAATGGCTTCTTTATTGTTTACTATTATTATTATTATCATCATTATTATTATTATGAGACGGATTAGAATGCACTTTACTTTATCGATTGCTGCTGATGTCGCGCTACAGAGGCAACCTTATCAATGCTGAGAATTGAACACACGATGGGTGTGTTTGTCAACGCGTAGAGAGATAAAAGAGCAATAAATCGAGTCCATTAAACCAAAACGCATTCACGCTCACAAAGAATCCGGGGTGGATCAATTAGGTGGCCACGCCCATCACTGTGATACATTTAATTGTGCACCGTTTATTTGGCCCAGATCAACTGTGTCCACTATGATCGGTTAGTTGGTCGGAATGACGTATGACCATACCGCACAGGATGTGCACAGGAAATAGTACCTTCGGGATGCACATAAACATGTAGGGTTTCGTCTCAGTTCACTAAACATATTGTAACTTTAGTGTTACACGCCAACTATCTGATTTATTTAATTCCCAAGAGACTAAATGATATAAAAGGTAATTTATCACGCGGTTTTGCTGTGTCACATATACCAGTGTAATTGAGCATTCGAAGCACTATACAGACATTTCATCCGGTTTGTTAGGAAATATCCGCGGTAAGTATCTATCACAATTTCGACTGCTCGAATACGGACACGGATCGCAATGCGTCACACACACACACACACCACCACCAGTTAGCCAATGGGGCTAACATCAACGGCAGTTGAAGTCCAAATGAGAGGCAGTTTGGCACCGTATTTTTCGGTTTTCGAGAATAGCGGCAACGAGAATCCTCAATTTCAGCCTTATTTCAGCAACTTTCTGTGTCTGTGTGTCTGTCGAACTCGCGAAGAGGAGAGTTGCATCATTGCTCTCGCAGGTGAATGTCTCACGTTTTGCTTAAATCTCATTCGATCTTTTTTTTCATCTTTTCAACGGGTACCAATTTCTTTCCAACTGATCATCCTTCACCCTATCCCATAGACCGACGGTAAGCCCGCTGATTCCCGGTTCCACCATGGGAGTTAGGGACTGTACACTAGTTGGC